TATATATGATTTCATTGTTACTTTTATTGCTTTTGAATTTTATGGGAATTTGTGGTGCAGATATCAAAAGAAATACCTAGAAATTAAATTCATTGCTGTTAATTATTCCTATTACTATGATATCTGTATTATAGTATCTGTCCCTTATTTCATTAGATATTGATACTTATTTTATAACTATTCTAAACCTTACAAGTAACACACAAACCTTACAAGTAACACACACACACACACACACACACACACACACGGGTATTTCCATCTCACTAACATGCTAACAAGAAAGACAAAGACAAGGTTCATTCAAGAATTATAAAGATTTATCATGGTGAACTTTGCAAACCAAATGAACTTTTGAAAACTGAATATAAATATATAAAAAAACCTGCAAAAAGCTTCAAGAACACTGAATCAAAGTTCAAGAAGATAAATCACCAGTCACTTTGCACTGTTTTTCTATAACCTTACAAATTTTCTTCCACAGGCAAAGTAGACAAGAAACACTGCGAACTGACACAAGAAAGTCATCATGCCAAACCTACAAAAGCTTCTAAACAGACTTTATATCTCTTTTAATTAGAGAGCTTGACCACAGGCAGAATCCTTAGAGGAGAAACGCTGCACAGACTAAAGAAGAATGGAAAGAACTTCTCTGTGTATCTGGTTGTGAATGTGTGATAGTGTGTTTTGCCGAGGATCTGAAAATGAAATCTGTCCTTCATCTAAATCGAGTTTCACTCTCACTTGCTTTGGTTTCTCACACCAAATGAGAGAGGTGCATGACTCCCGAGGAGCCTTCAAACTGAGTGTGTTGCTGTCATAGCCGATGCACCAGACCTCACTGGGCAAGCTGTTGGTTCCTTTTCTCTTGGCTGACTCTGTAGTGACACCCAGAATCCAGAAAGTGCTGTCTCCCACATCCACATCCCATATGTGTATCCCTGAGGAATAGCCCACAGAGCCCAGAACACAGGGACACCTATCAAACCTCTCCGGGTTATCAGGAAGCTGCACTCCAACTATGTCTTCCTCTTCTTGCTCATCTTGGTCCCTCACACATGTCAGATCTTCAGAGAGTATAAGCTGAGAGTTAGCAGTGTTTGGGTCGAGCACCACAGGAGCTAAAAACAGAGAATAGTGCTAAGATGTTGCATTATAAATGTAATCAATCAATGATGCTTAGAAACGAGTATTTTAATAAAACTGCTTCACTGATTATTAATGTTTGAAAAAATTTAAAATCATAATGTGGTCCAAAAGAAAAAAAGGAAATATCAGAGAGGACCTCTGCAGACCCTCATAATAACTGTGTCATAATTCCATAAAAAAAATAGCTTTTACCTTGAAAATGTATTTAAAGCAATAGTTCGCCCAAAAATGAAAATGTGTCCAAAATGTACTCACCCTCAGGCCATCCAAGATGTAAACAAGTTTGTTTTTTCATTGGAACAGATTTGGAGAAATGTAGCATTACAACACCAATGCATGCACCAATGCATTATAATTTTTCAGTAGTATTATATCTAGATATTATATCTCTTAGTAGCTCTCTCTGGAGAGCCAGATGGTTACACATTAAGTTTCTTATTCAAACAGTTTCTAACATGCTCCCCAGCCTGGCCAATCTGCATAGCTGGGGAATGGCAGACACACCAGCGTGCCAACCGTGCCAAAAGAGGGGCACATTTGAGCACATCCTCAGTTGCTGTTTGAAGGCATTTGGGGAAGGGGTGTATCGCTTGTGCCATGACCAACTTCTAAGGTTCTTTGGGGGACACAATCAGCAAAGCATTCCAAGATGATTTGCAAGAAGCAGCATGCCTCCAAACAGTACATCTCATTCATCAGAGCTGGGGAGAAAGCACTTCATCAGTCTAGCTCTGTGGGAGGGCTTCTTACCACTGCACAGGACTGGCAGCTCCACGTCGACCTAGGAAGGCAGCTCAAGTTCCCAGAAAACATCACAACCACACTTCTCCGCCCAGACATGGTGTTAACAAAGGAGGCATCAAAACAAGTGATCATACTAGAACTGACTATAGAACTGTTTTATCAGCTGTTTGAACTCTCATTCTGACGGCACTTATTCACTGCAGAAGATCCATTGGTGAGCAAGAGATCTAATGCTAAATTTCTCCAAATCTGTTCCTCTTGGATGGCCTGAGGGCGAGTACGTTTTCAGCTAATTTTAATTTTTGGGTGAACTATTAAAAAAAGAAAGAGATTTTTAAAAATAATGATTAAGATCCACATGTATTCAATGTGTAAAGAAAAATGTCATTATGTTTTATGATTACACCACATGACAAATCATTAAATTGAAACTTTTCCTGAAAATTATATAAAAGTTTTACAAAACCATGTAACCAACATGAATACAAAGAGTACATTTCTAAGAACTTGAGGTGTTTTAAATGAAACTTTTCCTTTTTTTTAATTTTTATAATGAACACTCTTACAGCCAGTTCACACCAAGAAAGATTAATATAAAAATAACTGTAACAATAACTATATTAGCATCCACAACAATGCACAATATTTTTCTGTTTATTTTAAGTGTGTGCTGCAGTTATGCTGTCTGCCACTTTAAATGCTCAAGCTCTTTAGAGTCTGGTGGATTGTGATTGGCTGTTAGTGTTAATCAGCTAAAATCATTCAAAGTGATTCTAAAGATATGGTTCCTCTGTGCCATTACTGCTATAGCCGTGGTGTGGACTTCCCTATTCTCACAGAATTATCCTTGTGAACGGCCCTTTACCATCACAGACTGTAGGATGAAGCAAATAATTGCTTTTCAGCTTCACTAGAGAAAAGCTTTATATTGTGCATGAAAACATGTCTGAATATTTTATAAATCAACTCACTGTAACTGATAGCCTCTCTTATTTTCGACCACACTGTGAACTTCAAATTGCCCAGGTATTGTGCGGTATCAATAAGCCCTCCTCGAACTGTTTCTGTTTCTTGGTTCATGTTCTGGGCTCTGGAAGTACATTCAGAGGTCAGCACTGCTGCTTAACTTCAATACTGAGGGAAAAAAGAGGAAAGGGAGTAAACCTGCTCACCTCTCCAACATGTCCTTGAAGCTCTATTGAAAATTGTAGGAAATATAAAAAGTTAATGAAGACCGAACAGCATACACTAAATGATTTAGTTGATTTTAGAAAAAAATTACCAGTTTTATAATTGGAATATGTAGATTGTTTTCATACTTTTACTACTTTTCACAGGTTGTTGTTTTGCTGTACTGATTAAAATTATACAGAATTTAAAAAAAGAGATTGAGAAGAAGAAACAAATAAAGGGCTAACCTGAAGAAACTGGACGTCCCCACTATCCAATTTACCTCTCAGTTCTTTGATAGTTTTTGGCAGAGAAAATAATTCTTCATTAATCTTTTCCATTTTGCTTTTCATGAGCTGTGTTTTCTGGTTCTTTTCCTTCCTCAGTGCAGCAAGCATGGCTTTTTCTTCATCATATAAAAGCTGGTGAAGATGCTTAAAAGTCCTTTTTGATGGAGTTCTCTGTGTGACAGACCTGGTGCTGAACACCAAATACATATACAGAAATGTTATATAATGTCATAGAATTCTCATGATTAATTAAAAAATAACTCATAAATCAAACTCATCCTTCTTACACATATGTGCTCAGCCTGGTGACTGCATTCAAATTTGGCATGTTCTAGAATTTTCATTTTTCTAGTCAAGAGATCAAGTTCACTTCGAAAAACTTTCTAAAATCAAGACAACATGAGTGCGTTAGAATATGAAATGTGCCTAAATTGATTAAGACCACTAAACACCACCAGGACGTAGGCCTACCTTACGTTCCTCCGCGATCTCACTGATAGGACTGCACGCGTGATTTCTGTGTTGGTGTGACTCTCTGCAAACCACACACATAAACTCGTCATCATGCAGACAGAACAGACTCAGTCTCTCCCGGTGAACCTCGCACAGATCCTCTAAAGGGTCCCGGTAATTCAGGAAAGCGAGACTCAAATTTTTCAGAGCCAAGTTTACCAGAGGGTTCTTGGTGGATCTTTTTCGGCACAGCGGACATTCTCTTGAACCTTTGATCGTCCAGTATTGTTGGATACAGTCTCTACACACACTGTGGCCACACCGAAGCAACACGGGATTACTGAAAATGTCACAGCAAACAGGACACGTAAAGTCCTCTTCAGTAAAGGGACGTTTCGACGCCATTTCTACCCACTCAATCAGCCAGTGTAACGCTTGCGCTAGCCAATGCTGTTGATTTGTTGTAAACACAAAATCACCTTCAATTTGGAACGAACTTTCGCTTTCGTTTTCTTCTAAAGTGTTACTAATTTCAGATGCACTGTACACTTTCATTTGAATTTAGTACTGATATCGAGATATCCGCTTTGAGAGTTTGGCGTGTCAGTTACTTGACCTGCTTGCTCTCTCTGCTTGACATAGCCGCCACCAGTGACATTATATAACCACGCAATACGTTCTAAGACAAAGTTGGAGATTTATTTGTATTAATTTATTTATTTTCGGTCATAAGCGAAATGAAGAAATACGGTTATATAAATAAGACTTTTTCTAAAGAAATGTATGTAGGTATTGTTTTTCTCACTGAATTAGGCCCCTGTAGCCTTAGATGATTGACATCATGATAACCATAGCAACGTTCTGTTTGGTATCCACTATTTTTAGCCACAGTAATATTACAGCGACCAAAGAATCATTATGTTCGGCGATTTTAACTAAACCACCAGAGACATCTTGTTTTGTTTTTGTTGGTAAGGCTATTTCGCAGAGGGACAGACGCATTTTGCTGTTCTTGAAGACTATTGCCAACATACACATGAAACACTCTGAGAGCATGTATTTCCTCTGTACGTTTACATGAACGTACGAAGTTCAGTTTCAGTCAGACTAAAGCATTAATTTGTCTTTTTATAATTTCATATAAACACTTTAGTCCTTAACTGTCGCAGTCAGGGTTGCCATGTCCACTTATAATAATCTTTGGGTTGGTGTTTGAGCTTGGCTCATACATCGATCCAATTAACGGAGGCAGGTGTCACAATGCTTGTCACTCCCGTAAATTAATGACCTGTGTGGACAGAACAAGATTGTGGAGTCCCAAAGGTATACTCAGAATTTGGTAAACATGCTTTTTCTTTTAAGTCATGGAATGACTTGCAAAAGGTAGAGTTATTGCCACCTTTTAAACGTGCTTTGAAATCCCTTTTAAAAGAGTCTTTAAAGAGCAGGTCATATGGGTTTTTGAAAAATATATCTTTTGCAGTTTATAACGTAGCTATCCTTAAATGAAAACAATCTGCAAAGTTGTTAATCAAAAAAGTGCATGATAAATAAAGATATTGTCTCTCAAAAGAGTCAATTCTGAATCGCCTTAACGAGTCGTCATATTTTCGAATCTTTCCCTGTTACCGGTATACGTCACTGGGTAACACATTTGCATAGTGCAGTTTTGCATTTGCGGCAGTTATAGGGTTAATGCGGGAGAGACAAGCGAGTTAGTTATGCTGGTGCGCCTGTGATACAGCTGTTCTGTGTTGAGAGAGGGGAAGTTGAGGTCTACGAGAGGCCCTCTCTTGCACAAGGTCAGGGGGCAGGGCAGCGTCGCCATTGGCTGCTCTCTTGCACGCCCCTGCGGGCCCCCTTTCCTCAGGCTCTGAATGAAAACAGAGAGGGCCAGCGCTCTGGGTGACAAACTGTAGAATGAAAACAAGCGAATGAGTGAAATGACACTATTTAAGGATGACAAGAACCAAAAAAACACTAGTTGTTAAAGTGAACCACATCAATTTTTAAGCAATATTCTATACATAAGCAAAAGTATGGATTCAATGAACAATTAATACTGAATAACACATGTTAAGGCTGGCCATCATGAATATTGAAATTATTTTAATGTGCTTTTGTTTTGGCTATCAAGTTTCCTTAAGAATGCATTGATAGACTATGTGAACATTAAGACTCGTTAAGACTAAAAAAATCTATTAATCTTAAATCAATTTAATTTTAAAATTAAATTCATTCAAAAGCTGAATTAATTTGTGATTTAATGAATTGGGTTGATGATTTGTTGATTTATGATGTCAATGAAATTCCACTTTTTTTATTTATATGCAACATATAATATAATATAATATAATATAATATACATTATTTTTATTCATTAGGGTTGTCACAATACAGTAATTTAAAGAGCAGGTCATATGGGTTTTTGAAAAATATATCTTTTGCAGTTTATAACGTAGCTATCCTTAAATGAAAACAATCTGCAAAGTTGTTAATCAAAAAAGTACATAATAAATAAAGATATTGTCTCTCAAAAGAGAGAGTCAATTCTGAATCGCCTTAACGAGTCGTCATATTTTCGAATCTTTCCCTGTTACCGGTATACGTCACTGGGTAACACATTTGCATAGTGCAGTTTTGCATTTGCGGCAGTTATAGGGTTAATGCGGGAGAGACAAGCGAGTTAGTTATGCTGGTGCGCCTGTGATACAGCTGTTCTGTGTTCTGATTAAAAGTTAAGACAGAGCGTCTTTTGTCTGTCGTTCTTCAAACATTACAGTAGACATATTTTGGTTTACAAACTGTATTGTTTCATCAGTTAGTCACGTTAGCACTCGGGCTCGGCTAACGTATCCACCATTATTGTTTTAAGTGTTCACAGTGTAGCAGCTAAACTTTAGCTGTGGGCACACTTGCATAAGTGTTTTTGTATTTTATGTCATTATTATAAGAACGGATTAGAGCACTATATTATTGTTTTATGTAAAGGTGCTTTGTCAATCGTAGCGCTCGCTAACTTGCTCATGGACTCCTCTCTGTGCCAATCACAACAGGCTTGGCCAGCTGACCAATCAGAGCAGAGTAGGCTTATGGAAGGGAGGGGTTTGCTCCGAACTTGCTTGGAACGAA